TATTGTTAATACTGCTTAATTCACCCTGACGTCCTTCACACATAGTCTTGTTTTATCTAAGCCTTATTTCTGCCCTGAGCGTGCGGTGGTAGAGGTCGCGCATTGCGTCGGGGCTCTGGTGCAGCCTCTTGCACTGTCTCCTTGCTCTCCCCGCTTTCAGCTTCTCCTACTCGTTTTGGGTCCGAGCTTGATGCCGCTTCTAGAAATAAAATTGTATCGCATATAATGACCACGAACATATTTCTTTTTATAATATCAAGTGACGGGACGAACAAGTCGTGCGCCTGATGGTAAGCTACACGTCTGTCCATAACAGTTGCAGCAGTTGCCACTCCGAGCTTTAAATCGCAAATATCTGAGGGGCATTGCCACTGCGCCCGTTATCCTGCGATATAAGTTGACAAGTTAATGCTTTCTTCGTCGGTTCAGGGTACTCTTGACCTGGCTTTTTTAGGACGTCCTCTATTTTAATGACTGATATATCCAGGCGTTACTTTGCGAACCCTGTAAGGTTATAACTGCGCATGTGATGAATATTTATTTTCATGCAGTTAATCCGCATACAATTGATAAATAACATGTACACTTTTACAAATATCACCATCACAAAAATATAAACGACATGTGAAAAACGATATTCGTGTCGTTAGTTCGTCTTGCTCGGCCTTTAACAATGTGTTTCGTCAATTTTCTTGCATTCGTCCTCTCTAAAGCTAAGCAGCTCTCTGTCTCTAGTGTCGTCAATACATATTCATCCAATAAAACAGTCTATCATCTATGACAAAAAACACATTTATATTTATCTATTATTTGAAGGCTTAGTATTAAAAAATTACCTGCGGGAGTTCTGGGTCCATTAACCCCCTGCGATTGGCCCTGCAGTTTGATCAGCTGAGCGAGCTGCACTACGCCTTGAGGATTCGCCCTTGGAACCGGCCCTGGTCCTTGGGGTCCACCAGGAGGGCTATGCGTATTCAAAGAAATAAAGAACAAGACAGTGTTTGAAAAGAGTAACAATAATATAATTCCTTTTTATGAGACATTGTACGAATTTGGGACATCGATTAATTAAGTGACTGGAGGCCGTAGTAGTTTTAAATAGCATGTGTCACAGGTCGCCAGACTCTCAAGCCTTAGCAACAAAACGGTTGTTAATGCTGCAACAAGTTCAACTTTATGAATGTTTACTCTACTAAAGAGAAAATAAGCTATTTGTACCATAAAACGTACTTAATAAAATAAGTAAACCCCAAGGACAGAGATATTTTCAAATATTTAATCGCACCCTTGGTAACAAATCGTGAGTCTGGTGTTAAGTAGCTCGTCTGTCCATAACAGTTGCAGCGCCACAGAGCTTTAAACCGCAAAGAGATCAGGGGCACCGTCACTGCGCCCGTCACCCTGGGACATAAGTTGACAAGTCCCGTGTGCCTGTAATTTCACCAGCACCCTTACCTTTCAAAACCGAAACGCAGTAATGCGCACGTTATTGCTTGGCGGCAGAAATAGGTAAGATGGTAGTACTTCCCTCTCCTTAAAATCCAGACGTATTTTTCTGCAGGTCACAATAATATTAATTTTCATACCCCGTGCCTACACGAGCAGTCCCATATTTTTTACAAAAGTTTTGTTTATAGTGACCTCCCTATTTTCCAGGTAGGTACCGGAGTAAAGTCCACTACTCGTAGTGAGTAGACCCCCTGCACCGGATCGCTCAATTGTATAACATCGTTGTAGGAATTTGGACATTGTACGCCTATCAAACTTGGTAGTTTGATAGTTTGACCAAACTAAACTACTACTATGAAACTAAATTTAAAGCAGCTGAAGACGTATTGAGTACACAGCTTTAAACTCTTGATTAACTGGAATTTAGTATTCAAAACACGTCTTCCTATGTTCTAAGAGCATTGTTATGTATTAACTAATTTATTTTCAAGATAGCAATATAATTAAGTGGCAACATGAACATTATACTAGTAATTCGGTGGTGATGTTGTTGGTAGTACATAATTATGTATAAATTAGTAATCAGACCGTTTGTACTGTTGTTTTTTTACCTTAATAAACTAAACATACCCGACCCTTTTCACGTAGCTGGTTGACTGAACAATAGAAAGGTGGAATGCATATCCGGCACTCGATTCTTACCCGTAAGCGTACGCTGGCACTCCTGGAGGTCCCTGATAGAGTTGTTCATACTCCCTCCCATAATGCAGGGGGGCCCCTAGCAGCAGGCCTGAGTTAGGTGCTATGGACTGCTGTACGGCACCGGGGTATCCGAAGAATGGGGAAATCACTTGCCCGGATGGATTTATGAGCACTGCGTTTTGGTAACCTGTAAAATGTCGTCACAGAGATCAGGTAATGGATTTGGATGTCGAGTTATTATTATTATTTATATTATATAAGATATAATACACTCGAGATGTCTACATAAATCTATACCACATCCCGGACACTCCATACAACTGTCGAAAATTATTTACCTATTACTACTACATACAGCAAGGCGCATCTGCACACGCACACTCACTTGCTCGTACTTTTATGTTACGTGGTCAGAGCGGCAACATAGCGAAAATTCTAACGTGAATCTGTTAACTATAATTCTTTTATAGAATCCTAATAATTATACATGTTCATTACGTATTTATATCGATATAATATTATATTTTTTATTAATTCACTAACTACGATAATATTGAAGATTCATTACAAAAATATATTATTCTTAAAACTTTATCATTACCTAGTTAATAATTAGGTATATTTATTACGTAATATTTATCGGCAATACAAAATTGAAAATTCTAGAACCCTTGTCTAGCTCACGAAGTTATGGCATCTTATTATATTCATATAATAAATCTGTATTATATATTACTAAAGAAACACTACAAAACTAATTCGTTTCATCTTTCAAGAAACTCATCTCTTTATCCCGTTAGATGATTATAAGCAGTCGTACACAGCACAATTCACGACCATTATAAATAGTAACGTAAAATGATGTTATATATTAACGTACAAATTTCGTAATGAATAAATGAAAACTATATTCAAACATCAAAGCCGTCTTAGTGCGAAAACGGCTCGTCGACAGCCTTGTACTCGTTCAGTCAATGTGACCGTCAATGTGCGGGACGTGGTGCGGTATCTAAAGCTGGGGAGGGGCGGAGAGTGTCCGTTCTCATTACTTATTTGTTCTCTGTCTATAATCTCGCACGCATAAAGACTCAACATACAAACACGCGCGCGCACACGAATGATAAAGAAAAACAAAGGCCTGATAATAACATGTCATTATTGTTCATTGATTGAGCATTGGCTATAGAGCCTTCAGCTTAAATAGGTAACGAATAATTAAGAAATTCAAAACGTAATAATTATTAAACTAAAAATTATTTTTTGGGAAAACTGTAACTACAAAAAAGTACAATCATAAAAACACGCAAGGAGCCTGTTTATTGTCAAACTCATTAAAAAAAAAACCTTTTTTTAACGTCTATTTTAAACTTTTAAATATTTAAAAGTACAACATCGAAATTACTAAAGAAAAATGTTGTACAGCCAAAACGGCCGGTTTTATTCCGCGCAATGCGGGTATTGATCAATAAAACCCGTTTTTTAAAGATGTACGATTAAAAAATACAATTTTAAAAAGTAACTTATGCAAGATGTATTTATTTATTTATTTATTTATTTGATGCATCTCACAGGAATATATAGTACAAATTTACAATGTATTTATTCTCTTTCCTGCTTTTTATTAATTTATTTTTATAATCATACTTCTACCATTTCCATGTATTTATTGAGAAAAGCTCGATATACACTTCGGCGGGAACGGGGAGAATCTTTTACTTCAGGCTTTTGTAATAAAATAATATATAATTAATTACCATTTGGCACCGCATTAGGCGCATACGCAGTGTTCCCTTGTGGGGCTGCAGCTACCACATATACTGGCTGGTATCCACCGATTGTGCCAGGTCTGAAAACGACAATATTATCACACAGGCAATTTTTCATTAGTATCCAGAATTTAAAAAAGAACATTTTCTTCGAGTTCATTCGTAACGGGTTACCTTAGGTAATTTTGGACTCGAAGTGAATTTGGCCTATTTACGCTCGGATACAATGCCATTGTTCTAGTAAGAGAACGGTTGTTTCTTAGTCGAGATTTTGAATCCCTTTAGCGGCCTGTACCTATTAACTTATTTTCTAATTACATGTGTTTATAAAATGAAATGAAATGAAAATTTGTTGGCTTAAAATATGGTGAACAAGAGATGGAACACAGTAGAAAGATAGAGCTCATATTTTACCACATCTGGCATGCAAAATTATACTTATAGTGATTGAATGAATTCATTAGATTACGAATAATGTCAGTAGACATGCCCAAAAACATGCTTAAAGTTCTAATTTTATTTCAATGCATAGTCAATTAAATTAACATCGAAAATTATTATGAAACTCAAACGATTACATAATATTATAATATCAGAAGTAATTTATACGTCAATGTTTATTCAAGAAATCGGTAAGAACCATTGACTTACAATTATATGGACGTCGGGTCCGCGCTAAAAAGTGTCCGCACTTGTAAGGCGCTAAAATCGTATACAGAGCGCCACAATCTTCATTTGTTCTACTGACAGCGCGATACTGCGATGACATTACAATTTAAATTCAACGGTTTAGCTTTTCCATATTCCTTTACAGACATGTAAACTCACTACTCTCACGTCACTACGTTTAAATAGGTTGACTTGGGACATTTTTTTCATGGTTTTTGTATTAGACCCGTCGTCCATTTATTTGTAAGTCAATGGTAAGAACAATGTATTTGGTAACATTTTAATGTCGTTTGGCAGAGCATTGCATATTTGAACACACATACCATTGCATTGACGTTTATGATTGTTCAGTACCAATACCTTTCGCTAGTGGTGAAAAAAACATTGTGACGAAAGCCGAAGAAGGTTTATAATCCTTGGAAAACCTGTGAAGTTTCCAACCTGCCACTTAGACCGTAATCCGCCATTTGGGCCTTAATCCACCTTTAAACCATAAGGGTGCGAACAGACTTGGATAATACGCCGCAAATGCGCCTACTTGCCCTTTGGCAAGCCACTTTGTGCAGCTCACGAGCCTTTGCTCGTGAGCTGCACACGTGCTTTATGTTGTGCGATCTGTTCGCGTGCCGTCCGATTGCCACATTTTGATGTGCTTGTTGTCGGATCTTTGTACTTGGTTTTCAACGTCTTTTTAGCCGTAGCGCCATTTATGAGAAATCTATGAAAGTATTTCGTCACCCAGTTAGAAACCTTTACAGCTACCGGCCCTGGCTAGAGACGTCGCTATTAATTGTAAATAATTAAATTTGACTACGTATGTATTTAACTGCACGCGTGTAGCGCATTCGCGGCGCATTGGTCAAATACCAGCATGACGGATAGGTTTGTTATGGTCTAAATGTTGTCCTAATGCTGACTTTCCACGGCCCGTCATTTGAGCGGACGAGCTCGCGTCACAGGCGAGTCCGGGCGGCTCTGATTCGGGTATGTGTCGAGGGCTTAGTCTAGCTTGAGCTACCATTCGAAAATGTCGTATGAAGACATAGCTATTTCTGCAGCAACTTTTGTATTATATAGCGGCTATAGCAAACTTAATTAAAAAAAAGCAAAAGAAACGACACTGGTGGATGTCATCATTCAACAAGGAAAGGTCGAGTTGTTTTACAGACTCATATTACAGGTTAATCATATCAATCGTTTGAACACTGTCAAATACCGGATGAGCGCCAAACGCCCACGGCCACGGCCCAAGAGAGAGAGAGAGAGAGAGAGAGCAGACGATTGAATGTTTTACCTGTAACCCGGGACTGGCATGTGGACAATGAAGACGCGTCCAGGAATTATTCCATTGCCGGGTGCTACAGGTGTCTGAAACGGAACAAATAAAGCGCGATAAATCGTATCCTTGGTATAATAAGGTTTACTATGACAACGTTTCAGGAAAGAGGTTTGAAGGTTCTACGAACGAAATTACTCGATAACTTTCTTATGCTTACATAGGACACATTTCAAATTTTCACGTATATGTATGTACATTACTTGTTTCATGTAGAGTTGCCAAGCCATAATGCCTGGATATAGCTGACGTTTCACATTTTGATTTTTATTTTATTACTTGTAGTCAGTCTTATAACAGCTCTTTCACAATAAACATTACATTACATTATATTTTATTACGAATTCAAACCTTTTTTTAACCGATTTCGAAGAGGTTCTCAATTCGACTCTATTTTTAACCGACTTCAAAAAAGGAGGAGGTTCTCAATTCGACTGTATGTTCTTTTTTTTTTGTGTTACGCGATAACTCCGGTATTTGTGAACCGATTTTCATGATTCTTTTTTTGTTGGAAAGGGGGTATTTCCATAGTGGTCCCATTCCATTTTGAAGGAAATCATCCACCTCTAAGGGTGGCTGTTCACGCATGAAGATTCATTTTTATAAATAGCGCCTAACATTAATTTAGGAGCAATTACTTTAATGGTTGATTTTGCTATTTCTCCAATTCAAGGCGTTTTTCTCTGAATATACTTTGAGTAGTTTCGTAGTGAGAACCTATTTTTATTGTCTCCAGTGTCAAGTCCAGTATAGTGGCGAACTAGGGGATATTTCAATAAAACTTAGCAAATAGACGTAATTCCACGTACTTTTGAGGTCGGTTTTTTTAGTACTCTGTACTGAGATTATTTTTGTATATGTTACGTGATTACTCGTTTGTGAACCGATATTGTAGATTCTTTTTTTTGTTGGAAAAAACGTAACTTAGTATTGGTCCCATTTAAATTTAGAAGAAAATATTCCACCTCTACGGGTGGCAAACTAGGGGATGAACCCGGTTTCGCACACGTTCCGATAACCGATTTCAATAAAACTTTGTAAATACCTAGATGTAATTTCACGAACTTTTGAGGTCGGTTTTTTTTTTATAATTGAAATTAATTTTCTGACAGCCATTTTTTTTATGATATGCAGCGACGGCACGAACAAGTCTAGCGCCTGGTAGTAAGCGTAACAGTTGCAATGTGGCACAGAGTTTTAAATCGCAAAGATCTTATGAGCACTGCCATAGCGCTCATCACCCTGAGACATAAGTTGACAAGTCCTATGTGCCTGTAATTTCACCAAAATATTTCGTTCTCATATCTGTGATTCGTATTATTTTTATGATTTTCATGTCATTTCAGCACTTTTGACGTATGATCCATGCAGTTTTCAACCGACTTCAAAAAAGGAGGAGGTTCTGAATTCGACTGTATGTTTTTTTTTTGTATGTATGTTACGCGATAATTGTGAACCGATTTTTATGATTCTTTTTTTGTTGGAAAGGGGGTACCTACTTCCATAGTGGTCCCATTTCATTTTGAAGAAAATAATCCACCTCGAAAGGTGGCTGTTCACGCATAAAGATTCATTTTTATAAATAGCGCCTAATTTTAATTTAGGAGCAATTACTTTAATGGTTGATTTTGATATTTCTCCAATTCAAGGCGTTTTTCTCTCAATATACTTTGAGTAGTGAGAACCGATTTTTATTATCTCCAGTGTCAAGTCCTGTATAGTGGCGAACATATTTCAATAAAACTTAGCAAATAGACGTAATTCCACGTACTTTTGAGGTCGGTTTTTTTATATCATATTGGGTTCGAAGTAATTTATATAACGTTTTCTCTTGAGTAACGCCAAACATCATAAGATTTTTATTTTGTAGGCGGCGCGCGTATCAGTTTTAAGTAGTAGATTTCATATACATATAATAATATGGATGCAATGAGGATATTGGCCATAGCGCTATGAGTTTTATTACATCTTTTGTTATCACATTGAAGACACAGAAATCGTACAAATAGAGGTAGAATGACCAACCTGCTGTGGAGGCTGTTGCGGTTGCTGTGCTCCTGGTATCAGTTCTACTTCGCTATCTGGCTCCAGGCTCTCCAGGCGAGCTGGTGGTGGGTTTGGATTGCCTCCTGTAATAAATAGCTTTAACGTTACTCTGATAGAGTTTTTTCGTTATTTTTATGCGATTTCTTCGTACTATAGAATTTGAAGTTTTTATTTCCAAATGTTTCAAATGTGATCTTTGAATTGTATGTTCTGGAATATGCTTCATTTGCAGAGACAGGAATATGCAGAATGCAGTACCTAAGTTTCATAAAATATATATGTATAGAGTAGAGGATATCTTTCTCTGAAATTCAGGCGTGATTAAAAATGAAAACAAAATAATTATATTTTTATCGACTTCTTAGGTTTTCGCGATTGTTACACATAGGAAATGAAACTATTTTTCCGGATTTAAATCGCGTATATTTGTCGTCGCGTAAACAAGTCTGAAGTCTGCAAGCATGTCATGGATAAACCTACACATTCAATGAAGTTTGACAAATCCCAGGTCCTTGCGAAAGAAATCAGTTATCTACCCAGGATGCTGCGAGAGGCTATTGAAATTAAAAACATCCTCATTTCAACAGGGAAGCAAAGAATAATTAATATGTTTTAGTTTATTCTAATTTCTATTATTAATTAATAATAAATTAAACTTAATAAAAATTCATTCAATAAAATAATTTGTAAAACTTAATTTAACGTAAATTGGAATGTTTTCTTTGTAAAATTAAAAATAAGGTATTTAATTAATAACTATTGTAACTATAGTGAAAAAATAGGGTAGTTTGCATCAGTATTGGACATAACTGGTTGAAGACTGTACCACCTCAGTCAACCGTGACCATAGGACCTGTAAAGGGCCTGAAAAGTCGGTTTGTTTGAAAAAACAAATACTCGCGATTTAAATCCGGAAAAATAGTTTCATTTCCAATTATATTTTTACTTGCAATTACAAATATTTTTTTTTTATGATTTCAATTGTTACTAACGTAAACGTAAGTTTTCTTAAGTTTTCGTAAGTTTTGTGTTTTAAGTATTTTAAGTACTAAGGCCATGGACTCTAGTGATTTGAATAAATAAGAATTGAATAAAAAAAATATACAAAAAAGGCAAATTAGGAGGTACTGTCCACTCTATGCGTGTTCTTCCTGAGGTTAGGTTAATTGAGTTAACCATAACGAATGTCTACAATTAGTTGTAATGAAGCGGAACATTAGAAGTGATTTGGCAGAATAATTTATTTTATTTGCTATTGGCGACTATGTTTTGTTACTTTTGATTATGATGCCTTCAGTTAAAAGGTGATTACCTTGTTTTTGCAGCGGTTGACCGTAGTATTGATGCGCTTCTTGATTGTCGACATAATAATCAATTCTGAAACAAGTGTATCTATGAATATGTAGCAAGCATACAATAGTGTTGTTTAAGTATTTAAAAAACTTGAAAAGAGTTCAAAAAATACTTTCATTTCCATTGTAAGAAAAATATTATGTGTTATTAACACTATTTTCTGTTATGAAATAAATAATTAATTTATTACTAACGGGCCAATGTTTTGAAAGTTTTGCAAGTGCGGCGGCGCTTGTTGCTGGTAGAGCTGCGGAGGCGCGGGAGGCGCCGAACTCGCCGCTGCCCACAAGGTCGCAAACATACACTGAAACAAGCGATATAAATCTTAAATTTTTATTGAATTGATATTCAATAATTTTTTTGAGAAATCACTCCACTGGTTTGTTATAATTATTAATAAAAATATCGAACACTTGGAAAAAAATCCTTTGATCCGGCCGGATTCGATTTCTCAACGACATTTTAGCCGTAGCGACATCTATGAGAAATCTATGAAATTATTTCGTCACCCAGTTGGGTACCTTTAAAGCTACAAGTCCTGGCTAGTGATGTCGCTATTAGCTGTAAAGAAATTTTTATTGAATTAATATTCAATGATTTTTTGTGATTGTACCACTAGTTTGTTATAACTATTAATATAAATATTACTTCATTACTTTCTGTGTGGAACGTGCCTGGATAGATACAAAGCAAAATGCATATATCATTAAACTGTGAAAATTTTCTAGCGGTTTTAACGGTTTCTAGCTTTAGTGTTTTATTAAATCTCATACACTGCAGAGCTGAGATCTTTCGATAACTTGGTTATTTGTGGACCCCATTGCAATTTAGTACATAAAGTTACACTTAACTGTATATACAACACCCTTAATCCGTAATTCTTGAATAAACCTGTAAAGTATAAAAATGACCATCACCTAACTCCTAGCGATGACACATTAGCATCACAACAAACGTTAGAGGAATTATTAACTAGCCTTTATGATAATTCTGTTTGTCCGATCCATCGATCCGGATTCTTTACATCATTCTTTAATTGCATTAAGCATCTAGGAAGTGTTGTGATTTATTGACCATTTGTCAATTTAATTACTTGACGTACTTAATGAAACTTATTAAATTGACAGTGGTATGTACATAGAATGTGATTAATAAAGCGACACCAAACGACGATATTAATAGAATCTTTGTCTTGCAGAAACGTGCGGGCAATTTACAATATGGGGTCCCAGAGTGTCTTTGAGAGGTTAGTTTAAAGAGATTAACATTCTTACATTAACGTCACAGTACATTTATGAAATGTATGAAAATGTTATTTATGTTAAGATAAATATAAAATACTTAATGAAAAATACCCATATACCATTATATATATAAACCAATACTGGGGTATCTTCTATTCAACAAAAAAAAGAATCATCAAAATCGGTTAAAAATAAACTAGCTGTTCTTCATAGTCATCTTCACAAAGTCACAAATACATTTAGGGGTATTCAGTCATTTATACGCTTTTATAATAAGATTCCGGTTGATATTTAAAATAATACCCTGTATGCTGTAAATAACCTTTAGTATAAAATTTTTGTTTCACTATAGTTTTAAACCTCGTGAATGGCATTTGGTTATACTACGTTGCACTAAAGAGCATTTAGCTGCGTATTAGCTGACAAAAATCTGTGGTAGTGCCCCGTTCAGCTCTTGCAGGTGCAAATTTTTGTTTTTTATTATACCAAGTGCCGGGAGGAATCACCTGGTGGTAAGCTACACGCCTGTCCTGTATAACAGTTGCATTGCCACTCACAGCTTTAAGTCGCAAAGATCTGAGAGGCACTGCCACTGCGCCTGTCGCCCTGAGACATAAGTTGACAAGTCCTATGTGCCTATAATTTCACCAGCACCCTTACCCTTCAAAACCGAAACACAGTAACGCTAACATTACTGCTTGGCGGCAGAAATAGGTTAGGTAGCAGTACTACCTTGGACGAACTCTTTCACAAGGAGCTCTACTGCTACTTTAACTTGTAATCCTGTCATTTATCTACAGTAAATTGTCTTGGATTAATAAATGACGTAGATGTATAAGATATCATTACACAACACTAAGGCAATCTACAGCCGTCGGCGATTCGTGCTAGTAATTCTACAAAGATTGCAATACGTACATTCGAATAATTCCACCATTCGTCTTTTACTCTGAAACGGGGCCAGAGATTTTCAAATTAGCATTAATTTTACGAAGGACATCGACGACGCCGTAACAACCGGACATCCTAAGGCCGTCAGTCCCGTACAATAACAATTGTACAATTTACTTTATAATTTATTACATTTGAAGGAAGGAAGCTGTTAAGTAGATGGTGGAGTACGCTTATTAATAAGTGGCTCTATATATACATATAACCAACTGTCAATCAATCTAATGTTTGTTGTTGACCTCTATAATGTCAAAAGTCATTGCAAGTCACTAACAACACAAGACAATAAGTGTTTATATGGAGACCGCATAAGTCAGACCTCGCCTGGGATAATACAAGGGTGCGAGACTTGACAAGACGCGGTCACAGTTACGCCATTAATTCGGAACAGTGGAGCGCCGTTTAGAGCCATCGAATAAATAACCACAAATAGATACGAAATAAGGGCCATCTGTCCCTGGCAACTTATCAGGCATATGGGCCTTACATCACTTTTAAATATCAACTCTCGTTTGCGCTGCAATCACAAATTAGAAAACGCCAACAACTGACTTGTGTGTACGTCTCCGTATATTCCAAAAATATTCTGTATTTATTGTAATAAAAGTAATATATCTAACTATGGGGAGCTGTTCCATTCGGTAGTGTGGGTCACATCAAGTGGGATGAAATCACATTTCATCGGTAATTAAATATAAAATATCTATTTTTTCAATTTTCGTACATTATAGAAAAGCGACGTTGACGACACCCGTCAATTGTTTCGGATTCGGGCTGGTCAATCGGAGTGCACTTGTCACCGTAATGATTTGGTAGAATAGTTTGAAACAAATTAATGACTTTTCGTGTCTATTTCTGGATATAAACTCGATGTTTATAGCGTGCACGTTGCGCCACAGAACATCTATTTTCATTATTCTTCTTATATTCTTCAGTTATAAATATTATACAGAACATTTATTTTCATTATTATTAGAAAACTTACAGCTAGGTAACAAGAACAGAATGGTAAGTATAATACACGCCTGACAAATGAATGCATGTATACTGAGGGCCAATTAAAAGTTTCCACAGATAATTATTTACACAGATAGAGAGATAAAGAAACAATGTATAAAGTAAGTCGATGACTTCAAAATAACCTAATAAATATAAATAATAGAATTAAATAGCAACACACTTGAAAAGAAAGAGAACTGAAAGAAAAAACCGACCTCAGAAATTCGTAGAATTACTTCTATTTACCAAGTTTTATGAAATCGGTTACCGAAAAGCGAGCGAAACCGGATTCATCGATTCGTCCCCTAGTTTACCATCCCAACAAACCATTGACCACTGTACTAATACTGAGGTAACCTCTTTGCAACAAAAAAGAATCGAATCATCGAAATCGGTTCACAAATGCTGGAATTATCGCGTAACATTACATATAAAAAATACAGTCGAATGAGAACCTCTTCCTTTTCTTGAAGTCATTTAAAAATATCATTTAAAATAAGTAAGCGTTTTAACTTAGTTATACTGGTGTTGAAGAAGTCTACCTCACTGTGTAATAATAATAATAATAATAATCTTTATTTATCTTAAAACATGGTTT